TGGCCTTTTTTTTTTTTGCAAGACCCATTTTGAGGCTTTCTATTTGCAATTGCAGCAGCCCACCCTTTTAATTCCCCAAACCCAATAAAATTAATAACAACAACAACGTACAACAACCAACACCAATACCCAACTGACCAACAACCCAACAACCCAACTCCCTCAATTCCCAGCCAATTCCCCTGACCCGACCCAAGTCCTTTTCCCCTTTTAATTCCAGCGTGAACATCACAACATACAAGACCCAAAAACAGTCCAAAACGCTAACACAGATCAGCGAGGAACAGAGAGAAGACGCTGCAATTTTGTCGTCTCCCTCCCGTCCTTGTCCGCATTAATATCACAGCAGCAGGCAGCAAGCACGTGATTTCTCCCATTTCCTATTTCGGAATGGGTTGAAATCGCAAGAAAAAAGGTGTCTCACCCGAATCATGAAAGTGTTTTTAAATTTCGAATTGGCCCATTTCTTATCGTTTTCTGTCCGTTTTCCCTCCATCCAGGAACCTTATAATCCCTTATATATATTCTCTTCTTACTTAATGATGATGGGGGAATTTTTTGGAGTTGGAAAATTTTGTGTTGAAGAAAAAATATTGGGAAAAGCTCGGAAGAAAAGCAGAGAGAGGAATACCTAGAGAACAGCTCAAAGTATAATGATAGAACATACGAAACACGTTTGAGAAAAGATAAAAGACAGCTAGTGTCGGTTGGAGGGTCACTCTTCTCTCTCATTTTGTTATCGTTGTCCAGCTTTCGTGAGTCAGAGATTCTGCCCGAATCACTTACTCACTGTTTGTATTTGAGCTTTCTTGTGGTGGAAGGTTGCTCTACTGCTCGTCTTGCCCCAAATCGCTGCATTTAAGAAGATAAACTCTGTTTCAATTCCAACTCTTTAGTGGATGTGTTGTTTTGACAAGTTGTGGTTGTTTGATCGACACACTAGCTTTTCTCTCTTTCTTGACTGCCTTCATTCTCCCTGTTTCATTACTGATTATGTGATAGACAAGTGATTAGAGGGGAGTTAGCATCTCGGTTGTATGAAATGTGAGATGTGCTCTTACGAATGTTGTTGTTCCTATGAGGTTAGTTGGCTAGCATGTTAAATGGTCGGTTTTCGTCCAATGAAATCTCGAGCATATATGTGATGCTGCTGGTTTGTCTCCTGTGTAGTTCTCTATTCATTTTAATTTTTGATGTTGTGCCTTAAGATCCTTGTCGAAATGTTTCGATTTAGCTAAAAATCTCATTGCCTAGATATTAAAAATGGTTCACTCATGTTGTCCGGTTCAAAGCATCCATTAGGAGTATACTTGTTCCTCAGTTTAGTTGGGTTTATCGATGCGATGTCATCTTTTTGAATATTTTGTTTATTTACATTTGCCTATGCTTGTATTCATCTTTGTACTCAACAGTGGAGAGATTTGTACGTTACTAAATTTTTGAGATATTTGGTGAAAGGTAGAGAGATTTGTGTGTTGATGACATAATGGCCTTTGATACAAAAAGGAGTTGTGCTTTTGCAGGTCATGTGGTGTGTGTATATAAAATTCGATATATTTAGATAGTTGCTTTTGTTATGTGCTCTGGTAAGATACGAGTTGCCCCCATATATCCACTATCATACCATAGGAATGAAGATAGTAACAGATCTCTAACGTTGCTTTTGTACAGTGAACGAGATTCCCTAGAATTTTTTATTCGAACTCCGATGCGCCTCTTTGGATTGTCTGTAATAATAATACCTCATCCCACCAATTAGTGAGAATATTATTGATGGGACTGTAGCTTTATGTTTTGTTTCTGCCTAATCACTTTGCTTTTCAACATTTTGAGGAATTACCTCTGTAATTTTCTATTTGCTTCCCAAAATGACTATGAGACTTGTTGTTTGTTGATTTTAACATAAACCAAGTGTAGGATTTTCATGATAATATTTTCTGGCTGACTACCTCTCTCCCCAATATAGATTATGTGGTCATTATTTAAAGCATCTAATAGTTGGGTTTTTCTATTATCGCATTTCAATTTTGAAATGCCTTAATAACTTATATTTTTTTTAGCCATATCTTAATTACTTCTGCATTTCGTATGCTAATTCCTTGCTCTTTTTTTTCATGTGAAATCTTCCCGAGCTCTTCATGAACTCCTATCTTCCTTCCCTTGCATTTCGAGAGAGCCATAAAGGCTCCAAATTCTTTTATCGGCCAGCTATAAAAATTGACGAACAGGTTTCGGAGTTGAAAGAATATGCAGCAGATCGATAAATTGAAAAGATTGGACCAAAGGCCCACTCTTTATTCCAAAGAATTGTATTTTGTTACTTTGGGCCTAAGCCCTTTATCATTTTAATTGTTATTTATGTGTTAGTCTAGGACAGGTGGAAAAATTGGGCCTAAGGCCCAAAGAGAAAATATTTTTAGCATGTTAGAATAGGACAAGTACAAATGATTTTGATGGGCCAAAGGCCCAAAACTGAAATTAGGCCCAAGTATTGGTCCAGGCAGACAGAAAAAACCAAACTTGGGCCCAAGTCTCTTTTCCCTCTTTGCTTTTGTTGTGTTTATTTACTTATCAATATCTGCTACTTAATCTTAATGTTTTAAAAATTCAAAGTCCCCAAGAGACACCCATTTTGAATTAATTACTTAACCAAACTATTCAGCTCATACTTGACCTAATAAATAAATAAATAAGTTTACAAAATAGTTCATTTGGATAATATTTTAATATTTTTTCTTTTTTCTCTTAAAATGGTCCTAACTATAAAAATTGTTCAATTCAAGTTAAGTTAAAATATTTTAGCCAAATAATTAATTGCCGGATAACTGCGTATTAGTGGGCATTTCGAGTGCTTTCAAACCCTTCCTGAAATGCTAATAAGAACCCCGAACCCCTTTTAAGTTTTCATTAGATTTCTGTTTTAGTCTTTTGAAAACAATAGTTTTCTTGATTTTTCTTAAAAATTAAGTGGCGACTCTAAAATCAGTCTAAAATATATTTTCCTAATAAAACAATTACTATACCACCCAAGGGGACGAATAACTTATCCCACTTCTAATTATTAATTTTGAGATAAGTTATCCCGGACTTGCCACCCAAAAAATAAATTAAGTGGCACTATAATTCAATCTCAGGACTATTTGGTGTTATCCTTCACACTAAACGAAAGCTTGCATTAATTTTTGTGTTCGAACGTTGTCGAAGTTTGAAGTACTGTTATTCTAACAAAGGTATCAGATTTATCTTGGGAGGAAAAAATTATGCACTTCAAATATTGTGAGAGGATTAAATTACTTAGGAACATATGACAATGAATTTATTTGTGACTTCGGAATAATTGTTTTTTTTTAAAAAAATAAAATTACTATTTACTTTTTCTATCTATATCAAGATTTGATTTTTATTTTCTGATTAAGAATAATGAACAAGCAGTTTAAGGAATTTAATTTTAAAATTTTATGCTACTATTTTATTTTTGAAGACTAAAATCCTCGTGATTATCTATAATCATTTTGAGTATTAAAATCTTCATCGTTCTACCCGTATAGAACAAATACACTTTAAAGATTAGTTTTTCCTTCTCTTTATGTAGAGAACAAATATTATTTACCCTACTATAGTTAATTGTTGTTAAACAACTCTCTATGCCCAATTGCCTCTCACCATTGAGTCATATAAACCTAACTAACTCAAAATCAGTCCTTAGTTATAAAAGCCAATTATGAACTTAACCCGATAAAACATGGCTACTAGGGTAATTTCTAATGTTAAATCATAATGGAAAAACTAAGTAAATGAATACACACTCGTACCCTTTTAGTTTGATACCCCTTCAGTAATTTATCAAAATGTCAGCATAATGTTAGCGATTCAATCAATCCTTTATTTTATTTTTCTCTTTTTTATTTTATTTTGGGAAAAGTTCAGTCTTCGTTTTCATTTGAAATGTTGTTCTCTATATTTTTTTTTGTTTTTTTTTTTTAAAAAAATAAAATAAAATTTACAAATAAATACAGTAGCTAACTTTTTTAGACTAATAAAATGTAGGAAAATTAAATAATTAGACTAAAATTAGAAGTAATTTAAAAGGTACTAAAATCACTAGCTTATTTATTAAAAACAAAATTAATAAAAAAATATTTTATATACTACTTTTATGCTTTTTATTTTTCCTTTTTTTTCTCTTTTATTTGTTCCTTTTATTTTTAAAATTTTTAATTTTTTTTTTCAATTTCTTTATTTCCTGATCCTTTCCTTTTCTTTGTTTTACGATTACTTTTTTATTCTTTATTATTTTTCATTTTTTTTCCATTCATTTTTTCTCTAATCATAATATTTTTTTACTTTTTCACCATGTTTAATTTCATATATACTGTCATGGTAATTTATTTCACTCACATAACCTTTATTCTCATTTTATTTATGGTACCTCCAGTTTTACTTCACGGATAGTACCTTATTTATTTCATTCATGGTACTTTTCAATTAAATTTATTCTTTTTTATCATTTCAAAGTCAATTTGTTTATCATATCATGTCAATTTGTATAATATATATATATATATATATAATAAAATATTAAAAAGAGATTTATCCACAAATATAAGTTAAACCAGATTAAATATTAGTATATATTATTAATTACATGACGTAAATATTTTCTTTCAAAATACATAGACGTTTCCCTAAATTATTTTATTTTAAAATAGCAAGATTGAAAAAAAAAAAAATAATACATATGTCTGCAAATTTGGCTATATATATAAGCAAATAGTTTGAAAAAATGGCTATCTGTGCAATTCCTAGTACATCAAAATTTGGGCTGCTCATTTGAGTAGCACATGTCCGAAGTTTAGCCCGAAATCCGAATCTATAGGTGAGTGAGTAGTCATTTTCTCTTTTTATTTTTTTAGCTCTCTTTCTCTGTGAATAATAAATATAGTTCTTCCTTGTTCATCTGTTAATAATCCAGATCCATTTCTCTTTGATCTGAGAAAAAAAATAAAATGGAAGCTTTTTACTTTCTGGTGTTTGGGGCATTGTCAGCTGTAGTTGCTGCATTGGAGTTTAGCAAAACGAGCAAAGATCGGATAACTACCACACCTGCTTTCAATTCTTTCAAGAACAATTACATTCTTGTCTATTCTCTCATGATGGGTATTTCTCTTTTTCTTTCAAATCTCTCAATATAATGCATAATGCATTACCCACTTGTAAAAATTCGGCGCTTGATTTGGTAATTTTCATTAAAGATTGCATCTTTTGTTCTGATCCAACAATCCAATGTGATAATGTAGTTTGTTTTCTTGAATTCTTGACTCGGATATTTTTGTTGGGCAGAATTTAGATGTGCCATTCAAAATGATGTTAGTGGTTTCAGAGAACAAGTAATCTGAAATTGGAGTAACAGTCGTTGGGAAAGAAAAAAGGGATTGAATTTAGATGACTTACTCTTGAACATAAAGAATATAAGGTAAAAGCTTTAAGCCATAGATTATAAAAGTATTTGCTTGGATTTTTCTGGTGCTAATACAAGCTACCTTGTAGACATATCTGATGGCACTACTTGTAAATGTAGGAAAGTGAGATGCTGTTAATATGTCAAAGAAAAGCTTTTCCACCTTTACTCTCTGGAAACTTTGATGGTAAAAATAGGCAAGTGTTTTTGTTCAAAGTGACCCAGGATAGGTAAAAGGGCGTGCTTAGTGTATGGAAGGGAAGGGAAGGGGCAGAAGCGATGTGTCCGAGGGAGGGAGTTAGGTTGGGCAGAGTGGGAGGTGGATTAAGTGGGTTAGAGGAGGTGGAAACGGAGAATTACGTGGATGAGAGGAGGGGGTTGATGGTGTGAGTTGGGAAGGAACCACGGGTTTCTTCTGTTTCTCTTTTTTTGAGAATGGCATCATGAAGAAAAAGATAATATAAATTGTGAAATTAAGAAATAAAAGGAAAAAAGAAGCTAGCCATTGATTTAGAGGAACTAATATGATTATACTAAAAGTGCCAATGCCAACAAACTAAAGGTTTTCTTCTTATTTTTGGAGAAGATTTTATTAATAGTTGGGTTATAGAATGACTAAATTTGAAGATTGCATAGATTAAAAATAATATTCTCGCTTTATTGTCTGTAATCTTATGTTTGTTCTACACTCTTTTGTGTCATTTCCCTTTTGCTAACGTATGATAAGAAACTGTTATCTATACTAATTGTTTTTGGTAGTATAATTAGTCAGTGTCTAAGACTATACATTGAAGTGCGAAAATTCCACCAAATAGAGATGTACCTCTGAATATGTGTTCGCTTAATTGCTTATCTATGTAGTACCTCTGTGTGCACATTACAATGCACTGTAGATCATCTAGAGGCTGCAACTTCTATCCCGTGTACATAAAGACTTGACTACTAAATTTTCCTCCTCCATATTGGTTCTCAACTAATATCTGATATCCTTTTCTCGCAATAGCTGGTGATTGGTTGCAGGGTCCTTATGTCTACTACCTTTACACAACATATGGATATGGGAAGGGTGATATTGGCCATCTCTTTATTGCTGGCTTTGGATCTTCCATGCTATTTGGGACAATTGTAGGATCCTTGGCAGACAAACAGTATGCCTGCTATATCTTGATGTTGAATGCTCTTCTTTTTAATTTTGATATGTTACATTCACACTCAAACTTTTTTTAGGGGTCGAAAGCGGGCTTGTGTCACATACTGCATCACTTATATTTTGAGCTGTATTACCAAACATTCTCCTCAGTACAAAATCTTGATGGTGGGCCGTATATTAGGAGGAATTGCCACTTCTCTCCTATTCTCATCCTTCGAGTCTTGGCTTGTTGCAGAGCATAATAAGGTGCTTAAATTATTCTATTATGACTTCAAAGGTTCAAATTGCCTTGGTGTTCTATTAAGATCCTTACCTACGATATCGACACATTCTTCTATTAATTATTACAGTACTATTTTGCGGTTAAGGAGTTTTTTTTTAATAAAAAAGCTTTATTTTCATTCTTGGAAATAAATCAGCAATGTGTTCTTCCTTAACTTTATGTTCTTCCTTGATTTTTGAATCCTATCTTGCAGAGGGCCTTTGATCAACAATGGCTATCATTAACATTCTCAAAAGCAATATTTCTTGGCAATGGTCTTGTGGCTATTTTGGCCGGGCTTTTTGGAAATGTTCTTGTGGACACACTAAATCTGGGTCCTGTTTCTCCTTTTGATGCTGCTTCATGTTTCCTTGCTATTGGTATGGCCATTATACTGTCATCTTGGACTGAGAATTATGGTGATGCTTCAGAAAACAAAGACTTAATTACCCAATTCAAGGGTGCTGCTGTGGCAATTGCTTCTGGTAATTATCAAAGCTTTACCTTTGCTTCCTTCTAACATATTCATCTATGCAGAGAAGTAGATCATATTGAATGTTTTAGTAAAAGAAAAAATGGATTATAATACAAAACGGAGAGCTTTAATTATTCCTCATGTGCATGTTCTTAGTGCTGCAAAATTTCAATACAATGCAGTTTTTCCAAATTATCTGTCCCATCAGCAGTAGGCTATGGTTTTGTTCAAGTTTTTGTGTTATTCGAAGGTTTTCTAAATATAGATATTACAAATGGAATAACTTTTTTTTGCTTTTTAACATATTTGTGAGGCTTCTCTAACAGTTCTTCTCATATGTAATCAGATGAGAAAATCGCATTGTTGGGTGCTATACAGTCACTATTTGAGGGTTCAATGTATACTTTTGTGTTTCTCTGGACTCCTGCTTTGAGCCCTAATTCAGAGGAGATTCCTCATGGCTTCATCTTTGCGACTTTCATGTTATCTTCCATGTTGGGCAGCTCCCTTGCATCTCGATTACTAGCTCGCTCATCTCTCAAAGTCGAAAGTTATATGCAGATTGTTTTTGCAGTATCTGCTGTCTGTCTCTTTATCCCTGTCTTGACAAGTGTAAGGAAGAATCCTAGGGGTTGATTTTATCAAATGTGTAACTGTGCAGGTGTTGTAATTCTATTGTTTCTCACTAACTCCACTTATTTTTCACCTTAAACAGTTCTTGGTGACACCTTCTACTGAAAAAGGTGGAGGCATTACTTTCTCTGGCTGCATTCAGCTTCTTGGTTTTTGTGCATTTGAGGCTTGTGTCGGAGTATTTTGGCCTTCTATAATGAAAATGAGGTCCCAGTACATTCCTGAAGAGGCTAGAAGCACAATCATGAACTTTTTCCGCATTCCTCTCAATATCTTCGTATGCGTTGTGTTGTACAATGTGAGTTATCTTTCCCAATTGTTACACCAACCAAAGTAAGACTGGAGTATCAAATTTCACCAATGAACTGTGGGATCCAAGGAATTGCTCTTTTAATGTTTACTAATCAAATTTTCTCTTATTCAGGTCGACTCATTTCCAATTACTGTTATGTTCGGCATGTGCTCGATATTCCTCTTTCTGGCATCAATCTTGCAGAAACGCCTCTCTGCTGTTGTTGAAAAGTCAAGTAAGAATTGTTTCCCATTAATTTTTCAAGTCCTTACTCCGAGTTTGAGAGAAATGTTAGCCCAATGAATGATTCATCAGTGGAGATACGAGATCATGTGACAAATAGTTAACTCTGTTATGTTAATATAGTTTTGGAGTCCAATATTTTCTTCTGTGGAAAAGCCTCTTGCAGAACTACAAGGTAAGGCTTTGTACAATAGAGCCTTGTGGTCCAGCCCTTCCTTGGACCACGAGCATAGCAGGAGCTTAATGCACCATGCTGCCCCTTTAATATTTTCTCGTCTTCTTCTAAAATGATGGTAATTTGTTCTAGTAGGTTATATCCGTACCCCGAGACTTGTTATAAGGCTCAACTCTGTCTTAGGTGCATTAGGCTAAAAAAATTGATAATTGACACAGATATACTATTTTCGTTTTGTTAATGCATTTGCAGAACCTCAAGATTGGACAACACACAAGGAGAGAGAAATGGAAACTGCACCTCTAAATGCCTGAGTTGATGAAGTTGCTGGGACGCGTTAATTCAGCGAGACCATGCAGCAGAACACAACTATCAGTTTTCTATCAATAGGTAAATAGAGTGCTATTTATGAACTACAATACAACACACCTGTGGTTATTTCTCATCAGAAGGATATGAAGAAGTTACCTTCATTGCAGCATGAAAATAGGGGTGGGTATCCTTCTATCAATATATGAAAGCTGATGCAGAGTTGCTGCTACACTGCATGTTTTCTTGATAATGTAAACGCATATTTGCCATTTTTGGATTTTATTTTAATTAATTCATTTAGTATTAGTTTATCTCTCATATGTTGAGGACAACGTTTTTGCAGTCATATTATATTTACTATGAATAATACTCATTCTTTTTATATCTTAGTATAGTAATATTCCTGGCTAAAATTTTAAGCAAGATAGCCGTTTCATTTACAATAACAACATGCATATTTAGCGTAATCCCTCCGACAAGAATGAACTGTCTCAGAGAGGAGTGGAAAGACGGCTAGAAAGTTTGACGTATAAAGATATAGTGAGTGTGCGTGTGGGGTGTAGGTATACCACTTAGGAGAAAGAACCTCAAGTCAGTTAACCAAACACAAGTAACAAGTTTGTCAGTCCTTCCTCCGATGCTCCCGTTCATTCTTCTTCATTTCATCGACTCTAAAGAGAGGAGCAAGAAAGCAATATCTTGAGGAAAGGTTGGTCAACTGTCCACCTAGTAACGTGACGCATGTTGCTGGTGTGCTTTCTGCTTGCAAGGAAAGAAAGAAGAGTGACATGGTCCAGTTCAAGACTTAGAAAATCAGATGGCCTTTTAGATCTCATTTGTTATTCCAAGTCCGTTAGCAATCATATACGGTGGGTGGATAAGTAGAAGAGGATCTTGTGGCTAAGATTAATTGGCCGAGAAGGTTAGCAAGGTTCCTGCTAAAGATTTTTCACTCTAGTAGAAAGAAGACATGCTCCCCTTAAAAGAAATTAAAGAGAGTAATGAAGAAACTAAGAATAAGATTAAGTAAAGGTTTAGGTGACTTTGTCGACTGAACGAGTTAACAATCTAAGATACTGAATATGAAACCAAAAAGTAGGGCCTTAAAGGCAGACCAAACTTTGCAACTTAACAAAAAAACAATCAATGATGCAGCAAAAAAATAATGGTAATGTGCTTTATTTTAAGATCAAATATATGTTGACTTTCACCTATGTTTAATTAGAACTGGCTCTTTGGGATCCCCAATAATAAAGGGTCTATGTAAAAATGGAACACAACATCCTATTCTTTTTCTTTTGGTTCTTGTGTTGATTGAGATAAGTTTACTCTAACTAAGAAAATAAAATGAAATAAATAATTGCAAGGGCACATGGTGACTTGTTGTATAAAATAAACTAAACTAAAAATATATATATGCATACTGAAAATTAAAACCATTTGGTGGTCTAGTCCTCTCTAATCCCATGTTAAGCTGCATCCAATGTTTCTTTGTCCAACTGTCCATGTGACATTGTTGTTTATATAACAATTGACCCTACACAACCTCAAACTTTGTTCTTTTCCTTCAGATCCTCTTTTGCCCTTTTGACGGTGACCACCTTAATATGCAATTACATATTATAAAAAAATTTAGATACATAAACAAAAATTTTATATAGATTTATCGGTCCAATAAATTAATAATAGTATTAACTAGCTATTATATGATAAATTCTTCAATGTGGTATGAATAAATTTTTCACGTCGAGTATGGATTTTTTTATATTTTAAAAAAATTGAAATCATAATATGAAAATTAATCCTACGTTTTGAAGAATTTGGGAATTGAATCATAATTTGAAGTTGAAATTTTCTACAAACTAAGCGTTGATTTGAATCAAACTCTTAGCCTCCTTGATTTTACGTAACATTCTCAGCAACATCCGGTTTGGTAGGTCGGTTGCCCTCTAGCCAGTGACTAGTCTAGCTATGGAACTAGGTTACACTGCCACGTCGAGGCTCTCTTTCAAAAGTGAGATACCGACTTTCATAAGAGGGAATGATCACTTCATCATGCAGTAGAGTAGTGTTCATCTAACTAGAAATTTCATAAGAGAAGAAAAATCATAGCGTTAGGATCAACATAAACAATCGATTAAAATAATCTAATGAAAAAGCATTTGTTTCCGTTCGTAATTGCAATAAGTTTTCTTTTCCTTATGATACACTAGCTTCCGCATCTTCTCTTTGACACACATCCTTGGCTTTGGAGTGCTTTCTCTCTTTTGTGTTAGCGAAGAAAGGATAAAAACAATCGATCGAATGATTGTTATTCCATTTACCGTTCCTCTATCGAAGTAGACTCCCAAATCCAATGTTCAAACGCCTATCAAGTAGGAGTATTATATTATGGAAAGGATAAAGGGCATTCTAGTAAATATACTCTGTGTTCTACTGTGTGAAACCTATCAGTATTATAGCTACCATTTCTCTCTTCTAATTAGTGACTCAATTTTGACAAAAGGCCAAAAAAAAAAAGCTAAAGAGAAGACAAGCCATGGCTACTCTTAGAATTCCAAGAAAATACCAATCTTTGATCATTCTTTTCCAGTTCTTTCTGTTAATACAAATCCAATTAGTATTGTGTTATCAATACAAAGTTGGAGATTTAAATGCTTGGAATATACCCTCTTCTGCAAATAAAGATGTCTATCTCAAATGGTCCAAGAATCACCTCTTCAAGCTTGGAGATTCAATCTGTAAGTCTCCATTTCTTGCTCAGATCTTCAAGATTTTAGCATTTCTTGATACCCTTTGTAAAAATATTCAACCCCATCAGTCTACTTTCTTGAATTAATTAAAATAAAATAAAATTTTGCAGTGTTTTTGTACCCACCAAGTGAAGATTCAGTAATACAGGTGACAAAACAGAATTACAACAGTTGCAACCTTAAAAATCCACTCTTGTACATGAACAATGGGAATTCTCTGTTTAACATTACAAGACCTGGGGAGTTTTACTTCACAAGTGGAGCAGAAGGGCATTGTGAAAAGTTGCAGAAACTTCATATTTCAATTGGAGGAGGAAATGGAACAAGTTATGATGAAGCAGATTCACCTGCTTTTGCTCCATCACCTTCTTACACTAATGTTTTTGGTTCAATTCCTGTCCAATCTTCTAATTCAACCTCTGCTTCATCTTCTGGGAAAGTGGAAATGTCTGTTTTTGCTGCTGTTGGGTTGCTCTTTCTTTCTCTGTTTATAGGAAGCACTATTCTTTAGAAAACAGGACAAGGCATTTTGGATTTTGGAGATTCCACTCATATCTTTTTGTGTATTGAGGCATTATTTATTTATACTTTTCATGTTGTTAAATTTGTGAAAGAGTTCATTCATGATGATTATGAGTTTCTTGATGGAGCTTACCAATTTGTCTTTGAGCAAAAGTATTGAGTTTATTGTATAATACTTTAGTAGTCACATCATGTGTCATCCAGTCGCAGATTCAGCAATTTCACTAATGTAATGTTAGGATTTGAACTTCAAACCTCAAAATAAATTTTGAACCTCCAAGGTAACTATCTAATCATGTGTTGAGTGAATTCAAAATCTGTATGTATACATAAAAAGTAAAAAAAAGTTACCTTATATCTACCGAAAAATATTTTACCGCAGAGGTTCAGATAAACACCCTGGTGAAGGAGTTATTGTTCAATCAACATTCCACCAAATCAAAGTACAGTTTTGAAGATTGAGCAACAGCTCATAATTAAGGTAACATTTAATTGTCACTTTATCTTTTATTTCTTTTTTCCTTTATTCTACTGAGTCACCCCAAAAAAAAACTAGAAAAGAATAAAGTAAAGCACTCAATTAATTTAATTATAAAAATTAATCAAATTTAAAATTGGTAAGCAGAACATGACAAGCAATTTAAAACGGAAGAGGCATAGCACCAAAGGGAAAAAGGCCCACGAGACTATCCAATAATAATCATAGATAGCACTGGCAATTTGAGGATTTCAAGACTTTCCTCTTTTGAATATTTTGGGAGAAAAGAAAAAGAAAAAAATAGCATTGGCTTAATAGTAACTCAAATAGACAAGTAAACATTTGAGCCCACTATTAATATTATATATAACATATGCATGCTAGCTGGAGCCAGCATTTCACCGACAACACCTATGCTATTCCTCGTGAAAAAGGGTAGTTGATTTAAATATCTTCATTAAAAAAAAATTGATTTCCCAAACAATGTCCAATTCCGACTAAAATTGGATCGCATACTGCAAAACCGCCACTCCCCAATATCTTCATTAAATTGGGCATTAACAGTTTGTGTTCTGATAAGAACAAAGATATTAACACTAAATGCATGTTATTAAATAAAATTTTACTGACTCATGTATGTTGAGATCATTCTTGAGCTATGATGGTAGATTACATTGCAACCAAAAACTTGGATCATCCATTCACTAAGTGGACTAAGAGATATGTGTGCTTACAAGTTACATGTAAAACACTACCTGTTCTTCGAGGAAACAACAGAGGAAGGTAGTAGTACGTTTTATCAACTACTATACTGAGGGGACTACTTTAAGGTTCCTTTTTGATGGTTAACTGCAGGAACATTGTGACTCGTCCCACCGCCTGAGAATCTTAATGGAAGTAGCACTCCACATCCACCTGCAAAATCTTGTGTAGACAGGTAGAAACAGCACATGGATAAATAACTAGTTCTGTGACAAAGTTCTTAGCTAGTCATCTCCACATCACGGTTTACTGGTTTTCCTTCAGTTGCATAGGCTGCGGCGTCTGGGGGTGTAGCCTCAGTGACCTGGGTCCCTGCAGCCTTTAATTCCCCTCCAGCAAATGTATTCCTTATTTGATTAGAACTTGAATCTACTTCCATTGCAGATGGCCTTGGAGGTGATGAAGGTTGCACCTCCACATCTGGATATGCAGCCTTGAACCGTGCCCTAAGCCCGTCATCAACTAATCGTACCCCTTGTAGTTGGTTTCCAAGTGACATCCACCTGATACATATATGGATCGTTACACTGACAATTTATCTTAACTAAAGGGAACTCAAGAATATGAAGACATTAAATTATTTCTCTAGGAGTGGTGTCTAATTATGTCTTACTCTTCACTAATAAAAAGATCTTGAGGATTTTTCTGTTTTTTCAACAACGAAAAAAAATAAAAAAATCGGGGAGAGGAGGATTAATTAGTATTCCACTAAATATGAACATATTGTCAAGATTTAATTATTGAAATTGAAAAAAGAACCGAGTATCTTGAAATTGTACTAGTAATTTTTGAATCACTTAAGAGTAGGATCATATTCGTATGTTCTAAGATATGATAAGGAACAAGTTGTTAAATCAAGAACATAA